TCTGCTGTAAAGACCATCTGGTTCTGTGTAGTTAGGTTGAAACACAAAAATGTTAATGATACAGGAGAGTTCCAAACTACAGTAGATAGAAGATATAGAATCTGGACTCTCTTATGCCCTCTTATGGTGGCCTTCACTTGGTGGTGGTGTAACACCTCCTAAGGGCTTCACACCGAGCACGACAGGTAGGTTGGATCACCAGAGGATTGACTATAGACAGCAAAGTTCAGATTTTATTACAATAATCTACAGCCGGTTTAAAAGGGGACTGAACAGGTCATGGCAGGCAATGATGGCTGGCACAGCTGGTGTGGCACTTTGTCCCCAGTGTGCCCCAATTTCACCCACAGAGTGGCTGATATGTCTACAGACTGCCCAGGACCTCCTGAACAGACGACAACCAGGTAGAAGAGAAAGCATTCGGTTAGACAAAAGGAGACAAGTTAAAGCCAATTTAACCTTAACCCCATTATTTCTAGTGCATCCCATTGCCATGTGGTAAGCTGCTTTGTACTGACCTGAACAGGTGACAACCAGGTGTGAGAGAGTTGTCACCTGGTTTGATTGGACTAACAGAGTCTAATCAAACAAATTCATAAGATTAATCAAATTTGGTGCTTATATTCCATCCCCCTCAATACAATATAAGCACACTGAGTGGTCTTGATGTAGAAGTGAACAGCAGGATGGGTCAAGATCAGAAGGGAAAAGCCAGATGGTTCCATGTCAGGGCCATTTGATTGAGAAGGGAAACAAAGATGTCCTTCCTCATCTGTGACCTGCAACCTGGACACTGCACTGACGTCCAGATGAGAGCCATATTAATTCTGGGAACATGGGGTGTGAGGAGTCCTGAAAGATCTTGGTGGCTCTCCTTAGGATTTGTTGCTCACAGAATAAAGGAAAGAGATTTTACATGGATTTGGTAAACCATCTTTACAATGTTCTGCAGCCTGCTTTTATTCTACACTAAGATGCAAGTTGGAAGTTGTACCAGCAGATGAAGGAGAAAGTAAGAGTGGTCTCAGTGAATGAATTGTAAAAGATGGACATTGATGTGATGGCGGATATTGAAGGAATTCAGCTTCCTTAAGAGATAAAATACTGTATAATATAGTTTGTTCCTTGGTACTTTTTCTCTTCTGCTATTTTCACAAGGTCACCATGGATAGTTGTTGTGTTTTCTACAGCCAGACCTCTTTGGACATTGGAAAAAAAACTTTGGACCATTAAGGTACTGGAATCCACAGGTTTCAAAATAATAACAAATTAGGACCATTACCTCAGCCATTAACAATTTAAAACAAGATATTATAGCTTTTGAATAAGAAAAAGTACAAAATGTTTAATGCTCAAAAAGTAGATGTACTTAATTAACCTAGCTTGCGGTGACCAGATTTTCAAAATCAAAAACTGGGACACTCCCAGTTTGTGGTGGTTGGTAATAACACATTGTGAAAGAAGTGTGTAATTAAGGAAAACTGTTCTGCTGTTCTGGCTCATTCATGACTTATTCACCACTATTTTCTTTGTGTTTTGGTCATTTTTAAGCAGCTTTTCTGTATTTGACCTAAACAAATGACAATTTATTCCTCTCTTTACTGTTGGCAGGTGTTAAATTGGTTAAAAACAGGGACACCAGGGACATTTCTTGTGTAAAACAGAATTCATAAAATGGGAAGTTGGGGAGTAGAGGTGTAATAATGTAGTAATCGAAGACTTTGATCTGTTTTCATTATAAAAAATTGTATTATTAAGACGGATTGACCCACCTGTCCCTTCTCTCCTAATAAATCCATGCTTGTGTCCCACCTTCTGCTTTAATGCGGAGGAAGTGAAGTTTTGTCGTGGTAAAAAGCGCAGCTCCCTCCCTCTCATCTGTCAGAGGCAGCGGGACATTGGACATAACCACCACGTTTTTATAGTTCAGTCCTGGTTCAGTCCTGGTTCAGTCCTGGTTTAGTCCTGGTTCAGTCCTGGTTCAGTCCTGGTTTAGCCCTAGTTTAGTCTTGGTTTAGTCCTGGTTTATTTCTGGTTCAGTCCTGTCAGTTGATGTTACAGTTTGTGTGTTGCAGTTGCGTGCTTGTACCTGCAGGTGGAGCTCTTCTGCATGACCTCTGCCCTGTGGAACCCTGACAGTTTACAGAATCCATCGTTGCTATAGACGACGGGCCACTCCACGATCTGAGCGTTCCCCAACAGGAAGCTCGTCTCTGCAGAAGACAACACACACAACAGCTCAAAGAACGTCCTAAAGCTGCAACGCAACACTTCTGCCACCTGCTTGTCTCCATGGTGATACTACGGGTTCGTCTAGATAGAATGTTCCACAATATGGCATTAACTCTACCTATTTCCATTGAGACAAGCAAGTGACAAGTGATTTACAGGTTTGTCAAAGCTTCTCAAAACTCTGCGTTGGAATTATTCATTGACTTCACACTCAGTAATGTAAGCAAATAGCCACAAGCTGCCCTGGGACAGACTGATGGAGACGAGGCTGCCAATCTGTGAACTTGGTCCGAGCGGGAATCAAACCTCTGACCTTCGTATTGGTGGCTCTACCCGCTGAGTCACTGTTACTAAACCTAATTAAATTTGGATTTATCAGTAAGAAGAGAGATGCAGGTGGGGACTTGAGAAAAGAGCACATGGTCATTTTCTGAACTGTGACGCCTCAAATGCAGGACAATACAAGATCATGTGAACACTCAAATCATGCTGGGGGTGTTCTACATGTCTCTCTATGGTGGAATGTTCAGCAGTTACCATGGAGACACAATGCACGTTGCAAACACTGTCAAAATGTTTTAGGTGTAAACTAAAGAACTGGTTTGATTTAAATAAATTATCATTGGGCCCGGTCAAGCAGAAGTAAACAGCAAGGTCAAAAATTCAAGTTAATGCATCTGATATAAAAATGTATTCAACAGATACATATGTACTCTAGTTTATTAAACTGTTTACCTTTTTTTCTGTACCATTTTTGGTTCTAAAGTTCCATATGTTTGATCTTGAGTACTGCGACCGCTGAAGGAAGGACCATGAGACACTGGTGACCACTGGATACACTTTTACTGGTGGTTCTGCACAAATGAAAGAAAAATACAAATCCTTGTCACATGTTTCTCCATGTACGCAGCTCATCAGTCCCCTCCTTAGTAGCATTGGGCAGACTGCGAGCTCATACACTGCATATGCATTTGACATACTTAAACCTCTTTAAGCATTTTAAACCTTTTTTACATAAAATAAAACATGAATTATAGTATTTTAAAATGTCCCATAGCACATGAATTAACATCTTAAACACAATGCACATACCTGCACAAATTAAATAAAAACACAAATCCTTGTCACATGTTTTTCCATGTATGCAGCTCATCTGTCAGCAGGAAAACACATGGTGAAGGCTGAAACTAGCTCTCAACTACATGTGATTACAGTAAACTTGAACAATACAAACATGAAATTACTCCTACATGGTTCAAATTATACAAGTGGATTTGTAAATGATCAGTATTTATGTTGTACTATGAATTTATATATATATATATATATATATATATATATATATATATATATATATATATATATATATATATATATATAACATTGGGAAATAGGCTAAAATCTGTCTGAAACCATGAAATAACAATAGAAATTGAATTGAAGTGAAGGATTTGGTGAAATTCAAAATAAAAACAAAAGTAAATTTTCCTTACATGTTACATTTACAACATACAAACCATAACTACATCAGCTGTTTGATAATATAATGCAGGTTTGACACATTTGTTTACGTTTTACAAAAACAAAACTTAAAACTGCATGACTCAGTTGCATAAACTGTTAGCACTGATAAGCTCGGCTTCTTATGTCCTGATGCAGTTCAGCTTCTGTCGGACTAAAGGACATGTGTCAGTGGAATAGATGTGTTTCTTTCTTTGACAGAGGAGGTGTTGATGATGGTGAGTCTGTTCTGTTCATATTGTAGGAGATATTTCATGTTTAACTTTTCAGCGACCATATACGTGTGCAGGTCATACAGGTGCAGATTAGTGTGCAAGTTTAGTGCAGTCACTCATGTATAGTCACTTTATTTATGTTGGCTACTGTTGTGATGAAAAGACTGAAAAGTATTTGTCTTTCAGACGCATTCGCACTCAACTTTACATTGCAGTAAACCGGATAGTGCGTATACATGCACCATGACAAAACCGGGATACTCAAAAAACTCGATCATAACTGGGATACTGATGTGCATGTAAACGCACTCATTATAAACAATGCACACCACACCAAATATAACACGCTTGTATATTGGCACGCTGGCACTGTTCCGTCCTTGCGCTGGTCATTGTTTTATCTCTGGGGACACATTGAACAGAAGTAGATCTGCATCTTCTACAGTTTGTGAAATAAAGACAGACAGGAGGAGACTGTTGATAATAATATCCTGAAGGAGAACAGGACTTTCAGTGCTTTAAAATAGTCACTGTAAGTTTTTTTTTTTTTTTTTTTTTTAAAGTATTTTATTAATTAAATTTTCAGTGTTTTCAGAGTAATTTCAATAAAGAGTAAACACCGTGGGACTTGAAAGACAGATATTATGATGTAATGCTTTGTAATGACTTTCAATTGAAATTCAAGCACAGGTTTTCTACATATCCCAGGTTATTTTTTCTCTCCAGTCCATCCATCTGCTCTTGGTTCCGCCCCTTCCGTCAAATTTCAGAACCTTTTGTGACCAACGAGCCAAAACGTTTGCCCACCCCTGGTCTAGAACGTAGCATAAATGAGCCTTAACACCTCTTCAACATTAGGCCTATAACATGGCAGAACGTTAAACTAAACAAAACAAAAAAAAAAAAAAAAAAAAAAAAAATAATAATAATAATAATAATAATAATAACACGTTCCTCCTCTTTGTCGGCAGATTTGAATGTAGTCAAAACAAACTAGTCCACTTTCAGTTCCTATCAGTGGGTGTGGTTCATTGTAGAGGTGACTGAGCATTCATCTCTCAGATTTCAGACTGGAAGATCAAGGTATGATTTTATTTTAATATTTTTAAGCATGTTCTTAGTATATATATAACTTTATTTACAGACTCAGGGTTAGTAATTGATAAAGATATCAAAAGTTAGAAAACCTGAAAAACCTGAATAGAAAACAATGAATCGGGAAGAGCAGGAATTAAGGGACTTAAAATTAAACGTGGCTGTAAACGCATCACATTAAGGTTTGTCCGCTGGCCCGGGGCAACTAAAAGTTTGTGCGTTCGAGTGCTTTCCTCTGCCTAGTTGCCCGAGTGGGCAAGTGAAAATACAGCGACACAAATCTATTCCCTTTTTAATACTAACTATTTATTTGGTTGAAAAACGAAGAGGCAGGTTGTCTAAAAAAAAATGTGTTACGCTTTTTTTTTTTTTTTTTTTCCGTGAGCTGTACTTAGACACTCCCTCTCCCACTGAGACCCACTGAGGCATTTCCCCTCTCTCCAGTAGTGTCACACACATTAATTATGTCTCCTTAACCCATCACGGAGCGATGACAAGCGCGAACAAAGAGCTAAATTTAAACAGTCCAAACTATGTTGTAGTTTTCTTCATAAATGCGTAAGTTTTCTTCATAAGGGTATATTTCCAATTTATTGATATTTTTATGTAAATTAATAACCAATATTATTAAGAAAATACTTTTCAAGCAATGAATTACTTTTATATGTATGTTGTTATTTTAAAACAGCGTAGGCTACTATACGCGGTTCAGTCATCAGGATGACTGACATGCGCTTAAGTTTCACTTTTGTTTCTTGTTTATGACACTTTATATCAAAGGCAGCGCATGACGCGCGTGCTCTTAATTTGATGAATAACTTTACACTTTTACTACGCGGCTACCTGGATGGAGGAGAATTATGGAGAACTTTACGCAGACTCGTTTGGATACATCATTACGCACACGCCTAAAAAATAAAGATAACCCATATGGGTCTGACAACCTGAGGCACATTGTGTATGAACTCTTAGATCGCTGGTCTTTTCATGCAATTTTTCTCTCTTGTATCCACTCCAAGAAGTCAATAGAAAGTCACCTCTTTCATCTGGTATACATACAAGTTTGGACACACTTTTTCATTTATGTTTCTTATTTATTTTTTCATATATTTACACTGTGTAGTGAAGTGTAGTATGAAATGGTTTAAACTAGTTTTATAAATTTGAGATTCTTCAAAATAACCACCCTATAAAAAGAAAAAAAAAGTATGACTACATTCCCTGCCCTCTCAATCCATGTAGTCATTGTGGTCATGTTATGTTGGTATCCATATGAAATTGAGACGATTTGAGACCAAGACCTGTCCAAGACCACAGGGTCCCAAGACCAGGACAAGACCAAGACCTCTGAGAATTCTGAGACAAGACCAAGACACACACACACACACACACACACACACACACACACACACACACACACACACACACACACACATATATATATATATATATATATATATAAAATATACTGCACAAAATGTACTGCACTGAATGCTGCTCTTTTTTGGACCCTCACCCACAGTTTGAGAACCCCTTCTTTAAGAGAACTTCCACTGGCACTTTACAGAAAAATTTGAAAAAAGTGATGAAAGTGTGTAGGGTTTTTTCAAGTTCCTAACTGGAGTTACATTCTCTTACTGGTTTTGCAGTGGGATTTAACAGCCTCTGCACATTTACCAAATGCACGCCATGACAAATACAGATGCATTTGTGCACTTCTATTAGGCAAACTTCAACCACATGTAGCTTTGTGCCAACAATGTAACATAAATTTAGATTAGTTTTTGCTTCGCATTTCATCTTGCTCTTCTAATCAGCGCATTGAGGGCGGAGCCTGTGTGCGTGTGTGTACTCAGGGAGGAGTGAGAGTGTGAAAAGGCGAGGAGTGGTGCGCTGACGGGAGCCAAGTGGACAGGTAAGATGTTTTAAAACGTTTAACCTGCGCTGTTTATTGCCAACAACAGCGGCCGCAATGAAATATGATCACACATGTCGGGTGTCAGACCTCGAGTCCAAGATAAGACTGATTCCAAACATGGTTGAGTCCGAGGTGAGAGTAAAACCGTAAAAGATCGGTCTCGAGGCCGGTCTCGCGACCAAAACCGGTCTGGAGTACTACGACACTAACTTGCCCATATATTTAATAAAATATAATTAACTGAACACTAGTTTGTTTTCACGGGCAAGTAGATCTGGGTGTCGGGCAAGTAAAACGTTATAGCCACTTGCCCGGTCAAGTACTTCTAAATGTTTAATGTCAAGCCCTGTCAGGGCATATAGTGTCAGGGAATTTACCACGACCTCAAATATTAAAGAACACACCAGAGACACAGTGATTCGTTTTACTTGCGCAAGGAGTAGGAGAGAGCTGCCTGTCTCATCCTAACTGAAGCTCTCTTCTCTCCAACGCCCTTTTATTGTAGAGAACTCAATTATCATACAGTAGGTTACTTTGAATACAGTACCTATTGTTCACATGTTATCTCATGACTGACAAGCTTCCACTGACACAGCCCCCCATTATACACAGATTTCACATTCCAGGTGGTAGATAGCCTCTAGCAATTCCCCAGAGTTCTGTGTTACGAACCACTGTGTCTCTGGCGTGTTCTTTAATATCTGAGGTCGGGGTAAATTCCCTGACATATAGACAGGTCTTATTTTATCGTAAAGTTAAATGATGACATTTTTAGATAGTTAGGTGATGTAACAGTACTCATGAGTGGATGGTAAAAGAGGATTCAGGCCTGTTGAATTTTCTGTTGATTGTTTCAAGTTGTCTAAAACCTGCCAGACATGATCAGGTAATCTAATTTAAGTTGCTTTTTTTTTCAGTGACATGAGAAACAAAGGAGCTCATTGGTCACCTATGATTAATAAATACAATTTAGCTCACCTCAGATTAACAGAGTTTAGTCATTTCTGCAGAAATCAGTGCACACATTAACAAACACAGACAAAACAGTTTAAGTCTGAAAAATCTAGAAAAAAAATACAAAATGGATTTAACAAATTTTCTGGGGCTTGTGATCAATACGAGCGTTCATGGTCTTGTTTCGGTGTTTGATTTTCACAAAAAGGTGAGAGGGACTAACTGAAAAACTTCCAGCTATGTCAGTGCTTTTTGGTCAGATTGTGTTAAAATAAAGATCAGATTAAAATCTAACTTGAGTAACAGAGCCTTTAACAGAGAGTAGTGCTTCCAGTTAGCTTCAAACCCTCGGGGAATGTTAATGACATGAGCTGTAAAGTATAATAAAATAAAGAATAAACTCTATACATTTGTCATGCAAGTTTAGAGGGCTCAAGATGGAGAGAACAGATACATGATACAGTATTATAGTTGGGGATTTACTATGATTATACAATAGAAACAAATATAGAAAACAAAGACATAACAGGAGATTCACTTGAGGAGATTTACCTCAAACCTAAAGTGAACTACTCATTTTACTAAGACACACTTAAGATCATTACATTTATGACTTAAACTCATAGATTATTTTCCCAGTTTGGCAAATTTTAGTGTACAAAGTTTACTTCCTGACAGAGCCACTTACACTTTAATATGGTTTGGGTTGGGACATTAAGGGTGCCTAACCCACCCCGAGAATACATAGAGCAAGTATGGATTTTAAGCTATGGCAATGAAGTAATTCAAATCAAACTAGACAGAGAGTGCAATGAAAGAAGCCTTTGACATACAAATAAAGCTGCAGTTTACCTGCCGGGCTGTGGAGTTTGGAAACATCTGCTCATGCAACCAGTGTTTGTATGACAAATCTGTATGAGGTGTTTAAGTGCCTATGACAGGCCAGAGTACTTTTTCACTGAAACTACTACTAGTTTTCATTACCAGTTTTGTCTCTTTGTTTTTTAATTCTAGTGAACTTTTTAATTTGACTTCCTGGTTGGACACGGGCAGCAGATGTAACATATAATTCCAGGATTATTTCAGAACTCAGTGCTACTTCATGTATTTTTTTTACTTTCCTTCTCACCGCGTACTAGAAAACTATGATAAATATTAACCACAGGTACTATGTGGCTCAGTGGGTTTACTACAATAGAATATAAAAAACCACAAGATAAAAATGCCCACAAATATTAAAGTTTTTGGATAAAAATACTAAAAGTCAATAAAACTGTGGGCTAAAAATGGCTAAAAGTTTGTTTAAAAAGCACCAATCTGGGGTAATGCAGTGCACATCTCTCCGGCAATGAGCAGCTCCTCTCCTCAGGTCCCCCTCACTAACACACACTAGGTCACCTATGACATATAGAACACACCAGAGAGTATGGGGCATCTAGACCTTAGGCTACATTGGTGGAGTGATACTACAGTACTCAAGGCTGGTTTATAGTTCTTGCTCAGCTGAGAGCAGACGTCTTTACACAGAACTCAACCATACAAACTTCTGCAGAGCTCATCTGGGCCCAGTTGCATTGTGGGAATCCAAACTATTTAATTTGAATTAATTAATTTTATTTATTTACTGTGGCAATAAACAATCATGGGTCTACTCTGGATTTCTCTGTGCCACATTTAACTTGGTGCCTTATGTTTTGATTGGGACAGGTGCCCTCTACTAGTGTCTGAGGTCATGGGTTGGGCCTGTGCTTAAACTTCAGAATAAAATGTTCCACACCAACATCATGCAAATGAAAACAAAAACACACAAATAGGTCCCACCAAACCAAATCAGAATTAGAAAAGGTAAATTAGGTAAATTAGATTAAAAGAAAGAAATTAGAAAAAAAATGTGACTTTTAGTCAGAGGGATGATCTGTGTGGCCATTTCCTTAATGCAATGTCTATGAGATTTTTGCTTGGTCATGGTAAAAGCAGTAAATCAGACAGACCAGACAGCGGTCAGGGAGCTGCAGGTGGATATTACTGACAACATGTCAAAATCATGCTTACCATTTCCTTGTGAAATACTTGTTTTATGCACACATCACATTATAATGTTCTATTTGTACACTACTTATTGGTGTCCACAGGACGTGTGTGACTTGATTTGTGTCTTGAGTGTTTGTACGAGTTCAATTTTAATAGGTCCTTCACCAACTTGTGGCTATTCTGCCTAATAAGATATAATAAAAATGTAAATAATAAAGTAGACTTTGAATATATATGTTACAGGCAAATTTGATAATCCAGGCAATGATGGATTATAATATATATTAAATGGGCATAAATGTTCAGTGCAAGTAGATTAATTACGGTTCAAGTAATTTGGCACCGTAGAGTGTAGAGGCACAGGGCACCATGCACTGTACAGGGCATTTATTCAGTGTCATGTTCACTATTCACTGAACATTTTCTATGTGGTCTGTTTAATGGGAGTGGTTTAAAATGAACAGAAGTAGAAGTTTATTAATTATGGATTTGTAATTATTATTAATGATGGGGTATTGCACTTCTATGGAGCTCAACACATATTCTCTGTATTCTTTTATTAACAGGATTACTTCACTGAGGCATACACCCTCTGAACTGCTTGTCAGAAGACCAGTAATTTTGGGAACTCGTCTGAGACTAGCATCACCTGCTGTCCAGTGCTAATCATTGAAGAACCTGAGCTGATCACCCAAGCAACAGAATCCAGAGAACAAGCCATGTCTGTGCTACATGACCTGAGATGGGAGATCCAGCAAGAACTTCACCAGCTGACCTGTTCCCACAGCAGAGACCTTCTCTACAAGCTGGCAGAGTCTTTCAGAAATGAGGTGGAAGAAGAACTGCCAGATGCAGAGTCTACCGAAGTGGAACTCTTCGACTTCATTGTTGACTTTCTGAGAAGTCCACAACTGAAGCGTCTTAAGGACCAGGGGATGTCCCGTCTGCTTGCATTCCGTGACCTCATCAGAGAACTACAATCACCACCACCAGCTGTGATGCAGGCTTCTGTGGGACAGGGCCCTGTAGAGCAGGGTGCCGTGGGAGAGGCTGCTGTGGTGTTGCCGGCCAGTGAAGTGACTGATGTAGCTCCTGTTATCAGTGAGGAGAGTGCACCTTCAGACATCACAGTAATGTCGTCATCACCATCAGTAATCGCTGATCCAGTTACCGGTTAGTCAAGCTGTCTTTATACAATGTATATGGTCCAAACTCAAATTGCTTTTACACAATTCATGATGGCCAAATTTCAGATTTTGATTCTGATTTGAGTTGCAGATTGATCAAAGGCTAAATGAAGGGTTCAGAAATAATCAAGCCTGGTGCCTGAGGCAGACATCTGAATTATTTCAATCTTTTATTTCAGAGATCATGGTCGACCAGTGCAAAGAAGAACTTCAAACAGCTCTACAAAACAATGACCTGTCTCTAGCGGCTAAAGAGGCTCTGAAATATCTGGACATGATAAATAATGTTTCCTTGAACATTGCGATCACTGGAGAGTCTGGCTCTGGTAAATCTTCTATAGTGAACGTTCTGAGAGGAATAAAAAACAAAACAGATGGAGCAGCACCTACGAGTCCAGTGGAGACCACGAAGGAGCCCACACCGTACCCCTACCCAAAACAAGACAACATTAAAATATGGGATCTGCCTGGGATTGGTACCATCAACTTTAAAGCAGATGAATATCTACAGCAGGTGGAGTTTGAGAAGTATGATTTCTTCATCATTGTTTCCAATGATCGCTTCAAAGAAAACGATGCAAAACTGGCTCAAGAAATTCAAAGAATGAACAAGAAGTTCTACTTTGTCCGATCCAAGATCGACCAGAGCATACAAGGAGAGATAGAGTGTGATCCAGACCTTAAGGAGGATGATCTTCTTAAAACCATCAGAGATGACTGCATTAAAGGTAAGTGTTAGGGCCGACCAATATATTGGTTGGCCAGTATTGTCTGCCAATATGGCCACTTGGAGACGTATCAGCTGTCAGCCTAAATCTAGCCAATATGGGCCGATAGTCCAGACAGTGCGGGCATGTCATACGGCCTTGCTTTTGCTTACACCAGCGCGCTCTGAGGCAGCATGAAGGTGCTGACTTTAAATGCTGCTGTGTCTGATCTAAGATACTGATTATAAATAAAAGTGAACTTCAGTGCAGTTTAGGCCAGCACCAAAAGTGTTGCTTATAAAAGTGTGAAGAGAAGAAGACAGACACAGTAACTGACAACATCTCCAGGAACCCCTTTTGATGATATAAGAAGGTGAATAGTAAACCAGATGTTCAGCTTTGAAATCTACTCAGTCTACAACTATAGAGTGTACTTTAAAATCACACCCATGCCAGGTAAGGCTCATGTTTAATCTGATTAGTTTTAAGATAAATAATTGGCTACGACTTTATTTCAAAAATTTAAGACCAAAAGTGAATTTGGTGCCATTCATTACGGCTAATTCACCACTGCCAACATGGCATCCCTGTCAGATGTAGTCATGTGGGTACAGGAGCTCTATACATGTTACTGGACCAGCATTAATATATGTAAATGTGTTGTGAATAGAGATGCGAATGGTCCACATTTACGAATATTATTTATTACCGCAGGACGCACGCATTTCTACTAACCACTAAAAAATAAGTGGTAGTTAATGTACTTTGTTTACTGACTCGAATGTCATGTAAAAATGCAATTAGGTCTACCTACTGTCTTAAAATATAGAGACAAAATAACCTGACCTAAGTTTTATAATCAGCTAAAAATTTACAGTGAATTTTACATCACTATATATATCAGTTGTTATATCGGCTACCGGCACCACCAAAGCCCATTTTATTATATCGGATCTAAAAAAAAAAAAAATCTATATTCGTCAGGCCCTAGTAAGTGCCTTTGTAAGTTTGGGTCTATTTTACATGGTCATTCATGTTCATGTTTATTATGATGCAGGACTTCAGGACCTTGGCATTCAGTCTCCAAATGTCTTCCTGGTGTGTGGCCTCAAACGACATCTGTACGACTTTGAGAATTTCTGTAAAAAATTTCAAGAGGAACTTCCTGAACGCCAACTAGATGCACTGATCATCGCTTTGCCAGTCAACAGTATTGAAGTCATTGAGCAGAAGAAAAAAGCTTTAGAGAAGAAAATAAAATGGTACATATTAGCATCTGCAGCAGGAGCAGCTGTGCCCATCCCTGGTATTTCTGAGGGTCTTGATCTGAGCATGATCATTAAATTCACCATAGAATGCCGCAATGCACTGGGCCTTACTCCTGATTCACTTGAGAAGCTGTCCAGTTTAAGCAGTGTGCCTGTGGAAGATCTCAAAGCTGTGGTAAAATCACTTCTGTCGTCATCTCAAGTAACCAAGAATCTGGTGCTAAAAGTGCTGTCCACGTCTGCTATCTACATCACTGCAACATCTATTGAGGAAGGATCCAGGTTTATCCCACTTATTGGAATACCAGTTGCAATGAGTCTTTCGAGTTTGACAACCTACAGAGCACTGAATTATGTACTAAACACTCTGACAGAGGACGCAAAGCAAGTTTTGAGAGCAGCTCAGAGGGGGAACAAATCTGAATGAGTAAAATCGCTATTTACTCAGCATTATCAGTCACAGAAATCCACCGGCCTTATAAGTGGATGTGTCCAACTGGTCAACAACGTCCATATGCATTTATTCAGTTAAATCTGTTGTGTAACCAACAGACAAGTGTCTTTCTGTAAACTAGGGCTGTGCAGTTAATCATTCTTAATCATTCTTAATCAAGATTCAGTTAGGACTTTTTAATAGAGAGGTCTACAGTGAAGCATGTTGTTTGGAGAGGACTTTGGACGATGGAATATAACTATTTTTGTACTAAATGGCACTGATTAAAAGCCTGAAGTATTTCTGTTTAGAAAATTGTATATTGTTGAAATTGTAGTACAAATAAAATTGTGAATAAGGACAAATCATTGTTTCTTTATTAAATAAACCATCGATGCAAATATGTACTTTACTCTGTAATTTGCACCCATAAAATAAAATATTACATTACAGTTGGAGAAAAAGTTTGTTTTTATTTCACAGGCATCATGTTTCCAGATCATTTCAGGTCATTAAGTCCAATGTCCAACACTTTATTAATTAGAATCAAAGTCACACTGAGAGACTCAAATGATCAGAATCAGAACTAAACCAGGACTAGAACAACATACCAAGGTAAACTAATGAGAAATATATATTCTTGGCTTCTCATTGGATAAGGACTAAACCAGTACTGAGCTACCACATAGACTAAACAGGACTAAACTAATGGAGCTCAAAAGTACATTTTCCATATTTTTTCCCCTTAGACATTGAAGGTATCATGGAGGCTAATCAGCTATCGGTGCTAACCAATATCCATAACACTGTTTTAAGTGCTAAAAGCATATTTAAAACACAAAATAAAAATTTTACATAAAATATAGCTAGTAAAATATAGTTAGTTAGTTAGTTAGTTATAGCTTATTAGTTACTACAGAGCTGATTAGCCCAAAACATTCAAACTTTAAATATAGGGTTTTTTATGTTTTTTTGGTTTTTTTTGGAAAAACTATGGGAAAAATGAATAAGAAACTTAATTCTGGAACCAGGGGTTGGGTGGCCACTTTTGAGTTGTTGAAATCAATGTGGTCTATTCTCTTTAAAATAACATCCGTGCCAGGTTAAGGGTAACTAAGAAAGTAAAGATATTTGTCCATAATAGTCCATGTGAAGTGGTTCCAGTTTCTCACTTGAAGAGGAGATGGAGGGTTAGAGGATCCTGCTTCTTGCCTCCATGGAGATGTTATTAACAGTGCACCTTTAAAATGATTTCTGAATAATTTTGACAGAAGTATTTGCTAATAGAATCTTATCTCACCTGTTTTATAAGATGACACCACAACATCTGCAAATTAACTAAAGACATATGAGCTGCCCCCATCTCACATAAACTATTGTCACTATAACTAGCACTATATAACTTTTCTAGTAGAGGGACCGCCACCTGCTTGTCACTATGGAGATATTTTTGTTTTGCCTAAAAAGTTCCACAGTATAGACTTATCCAGGTTCCATTTGATAATAGTAATACATTTTATTTTTTATGCACTACATTTTAAGGTAAATCTCAAACTGCTACAAGGTTAAAATGTTTATAATGCAAAAATATAGAGTATATTGCCTATTCACAGATCTGACCTGTAACTTTGCATGGTGGTCGTACCTGCTTTTCTCCATAGAGATAGGTAAGTTTAATGCCACTCTGTGTTTAAGCAAAGCAACAACATCTTCATGGATGTTGTATGGAATGTGTATGGGCATTAGAACTATGCATTGGGAACAAAAAAGTATGATATAAAAACTAATAAACCTAAAAATACTATCTGAACTGAAAGGCCATTAAATTAAGTTTATATTGAACAACTGCGCCATCTAGTGCCTAACAACATCAACCACCAAGCTGTCCTCTTCTACAATAGTAAAACATATCTGCTGCACTCTTGTGGTAAGGAGGGGAATGCATTGGTCACTATAACTAGCAAAATTCAAGTGATACAATCAAATTTCACTTAATTATGAGAATGTTTTCAGATAAACATGGTTGGTTATAAAGCTTTGGGGGCAGGAGTGCTACTTGGATATGCAAAAAATGTGCAGAATTGTTCTTTTGGTGCTCTTCAGTGTAGGGACCAGTCTCAAATACAAAGTAGGAAAAAAACTGAGGCACTCAAAAAGTACAAAATAATTAAAAGCCTTTAATACCACATGGCAGATAAAGTTAAAATATGCCAACGCGTTTCTGCCCTTCAGCCTTCATCAGGGCAAAATGGTTGGTTATAAAGCAATAGAACAGTGGAAACAAATAGCTGCAGGAGTAGATTGCTCCTGAGAGGTTTAACCCACAGGTACTGAAGGATGCAGATACACTGAAGGATGGGCCCAGCGTAGGGATGGTTGGGATTGTTTATCTTGATAAAAAAGGATAAACAGTAATCATTCATGGGACATTTTTTATAATCGTGAGAATCGCCAACCAAATAATCGTCATTGTATCACCAGAACATGCAGAAAAAAACTATTTATCCTTGATCTTTTCTTTTAGATCATTTAGTTGCTTTGATAATAATTATTAATCACAATTATTTTGGCCACGATAATCGTGACAAATTTTAGTATCGTCCCATGCATAGTCCAATGCAGATTTGACCAAAGGACACTGAAGGGAGGGTCAGATGTAGGGGACACATTTCACTACAGGACAATAAGATACACCTTACATTAACATTAAAAGTGCTTTATTTTTATGCAAATCATATATTTGAATAAATGTATATGCATAACAAAAACTGAAATAAAAGTAACAAAATTAAACAGAAACATGTGAGAATGCAGTACAAGTAGTAAATTACTTCTACTGTAAAGACCATCTGGTTCTGTGTAGTTAAGTTGAAACACAAAAAATGGTAATGACACAGGAGAGTTTCAAACTACAGTCTAGATAGAACATGTGGAATCTGGACTCTCTTATGGTGCCCTACACTTGGTGGTGGTCCTGTCAGAACTGAGGTGGTCCATAAAGTTACCTAACAACAATATGAAAACACAGGCTGTTTTGTAAAGAACAATACCGTATGAGGAATTGTAAATAATTCATAATAGTGGGTGTGCTTAAAGAAGAGACCACCCAACTCTGAAAAAAAAAAAAACATTTCAATGCAAGATGGAAGAAAATACAAGCTTCACTGTTCATGTTTATAAAGTTTTGGCACTACAGCTCACAGAGGGAAGAATAAGCAAAATTATTACTGTTGTTTCAAATGTATTACTCAAGTACAAATAAAAGTATGGTGTGGTAAAACTACTTTTAGATGCACAATTCCATCAAAAACTGAGCCTCCATAACTGACTCTGAGTCATTTTGTGGCAGCCTACAGTAACTAGCTAATAGTTAAAGATGCACATATAACCTTTCTAGTGGAGAGTACACCGCCAGATTTTTACCAAGGACAGTATTGCTTTTCCTTTAATGTTCCACAGTGTAACATTGGTTTTATCTATCTCCATGGAAAGAAGCAGATGAGACCACCAGGGAATTTACAGGTAAGATCTATGGAGAGGTGAGTCCACTTAAACTGCATGTTTTTCAAGGTATTTATCAGTACTAAGATCCCCTGTAATTGTATAAAGGCAAGATGAATAAGTTCAATGTCACACTTTGGACCATTCAAGGTAGCTAAAGCAGTCCATGGGTTACAGAATGATGACAAATTAGGACCGTTTCCATGATGATTAATAATTTATAACAAAATAGTATGAATGGAAAAAAAATCCTCAAAGTGTTCATATAAGAAGAAACTGAAACCCACGAATTACATCTCCATAAAGCCCTGTAGATTATGGACTCACTTACTGCCAGGAAAGTTGTATAGTGCACCTTCAATTTGTCTAGGTTGTTTAATGCTAGACAGTTAACATTTTAACATAACAGTCTGACAGATGCAGCAGAAAATTTGACACACCCACCAACTATACTCTGGTCTGGAACATCTCTGTTTTTTGATGAGCTTAATGTTCCTGTACATTGTCCCATCAAATAAAGACTAAATTGCAGCCCAGTTAAGGTCACTAACTTTTTCTTTTGCTGTGACAAGTCCTACGAGGTTAAATGTACATGAATGGAGTTCTCTTTTACTGCACCAATATAATCAGTGTTGGGTTATGTGCACTGTACCAATTAATTTTGCAGCATGGAAACTTTTGTGTCTGTACAGGTGTTAGAATTTGGCTACAAATTGTGACATAAGGTTAAAGGGTTAAATCGGTTCATTTGAGACACAAAGTAGGAAAAGTATTTTTGTAGGTCAATAATAGGCTTGTAAAGAACTTCTAACAATGTCACATACCTAGTAGTACAACACACTCCTTCAGCTAGGTACTCCTTGTTCCAAGTTCTAGAGATGGGTCCCTGCTTCTTTGAACTGCGGTTGCCCACTGCTCCTGACAGGTGTAACCCAGAGGCACTGAAGGATGGGTCAAATGCAGAGGACAAATTTCCCTTCATAGACAATAAAGTACATTGCTTTAGCATAAAGAATAATAATCTGGCAACAATACAGATATACATACTATATTTTTTGGACTATAATTCACACTTTTTTTCATGGTTTAGGTGTTCCTGCGACTTATACTCCAGTGAGACTTATATATTAACATTATCACATTGTACTCCTGTACCACTGTTACTTCACTCTACTAGGCATGTCTCCTGCAGAAAAATCCGCTGTCCTGCTGCAAGTAGTGAAATATGCAGCCAAAAATGGTAATCGAGCAGCAGAAAGAAAATTTGGAGTGAGGGACTGGAGAAAAGCGGGGATGGAGAACACAGCTTCATGGTAACCAGGAGGATGCACTGTGCAACTTTCCTGGAAGTCACTGGATCAACAAAGCCTGGACTTCAGTGACACCGAAACCATCCTGTCGGGATTCAGAATGGCCGGAATAATTCTAACTGGAACTGATGCTGAGTCTAATGACAGCTACACAGAAGAGGAAGCAGCATTCCGTTTACCTCCAGAAATTCACGTAGTTGTTCAGAAGTGACACCGAGGATGAAGAATTCAATGGATTTAGTGATTTGGAGTGAGATGAAGAGTTTGTTAAACTTGTTCTGTTCTGTTGTTTATCTGAATAACTGTTCATATGTGACGTTAACATACTAGATGCCTATTCAGCCTGTTATTCTCTGTTCTATTGTTATTACTAGAACTTGACTTTCAAAATGAAATGTCGGTTCCTGGTCTCTGATTTTGTAAAATAAATTTCCTTATAGTCCGATGAAACTTATATATGTTTTTTTCTTCATTAGGCATTTTTTGACTGGTGCAACTTATACTTCGAAGCAATTTACAGTCCGAAAAATACGGTAAACAAAAAAGCAATTAAAGTGACAGAATGTGATTATATGTCAAATACGTAGTAGTACTAGCAGCAGCAGGAGTAGCGGAAGTAGTAGTAGGCCTATTAGTAGTACCGGAAGCCTATATGCTGTAATTCTTGCCCTTAGAGGTCCTTATCGTTGGGTTTAAACAAATTCAAAAATGTTAATAACCCAGGAGTGTTCCAAAACTACAGTCTTTAGAACACGTGGAATCTGGACTGCTGTGGTGGCCTCCATTTGGTGCTTATATTCCATCCCCCTTGATGCAATATAAGCACACTGAGTGGTCTTGATGTAGAAGTGAACAGCAGGATGGGTCAAGATCAGAAGGGAAAAGCCAGATGGTCAAATGTCAGGCCCGTTTGATTGAGAAGGGAAACAAAGATGTCCTTCCTCATCTGTGACCTGCAACCTGGACACTGCACAGACGTCCCGACGGGAGCCATATTAATTCTGGGAACATGGGGTGTGAGGAGTCCTGAAAGATCTTGGTGGCTCTCCTTAGGATTTGTTGCTCACAGAAAAAGGAAAGAGATTTTACATGGATTTTGTAAGCCATCTTTACAGTGTTCTGCAGCCTGCTTTTATTCTACACTAAGATGCAAGTTGGAAGTTGTACCAGCAGATGAAGGAGAAAGTAAGAGTGGTCTCAGTGAATGAATTGTAAAAGGTGGACACTGATGTGATGGTGGATAATGAAGGAATTCAGCTTCCTTAAGAGATAAAATACTGTATAATATAGTTTGTTCCTTGGTACTTTTTCTCTTCTGCTATTTTCACAAGGTCACCATGGATAGTTGTTGTGTTTTCTACAGCCAGACCTCTTTGGACATTAGAAATAGTCATTAATATAATATCACACTTTGGACCATTCAGGTACTGAAATGCACAGATTTCAGAATAATAACAAATTAGGACCATTACCTCAGCCATTAACAATTTAAAACAAGATATTATAGCTTTTGAATAAGAAAAAGTACAAAATGTTTAATGCTCAAAAAGTAGATGTACTTAATTAACCTAGCTTGCGGTGACCAGATTTTCAAAATCAAAAATGGTGGTTGGTAATAATAAATTGTGAAAGAAGTGTGTAATTACAGAAAATTGTTTTGCTGTTCTGGCTCATTCATGACTTATTCACCACTAACATGTGAGTCAGCATACTCACATTTTCTTTGTGTTTTGGTCATTTTTAAGCAGCTTTTCTGTATTTGACCTAAACAAATGACAATTTATTCCTCTCTTTACTGTTTCCAGGTGTTAAATTGGTTAAAAACAGGGACACCAGGGACATTTCTTGTGTAAAACGGAATTCATAAAATCTGAAGTTGGGGAGTAGAGGTGTAATAATGTAGTAATCGAAGACTCTGTTTTCTTTATAAAAAAATTTATTATTAAGACGGATTGACCCACCTGTCCCTTCTCTCCTAATAAATCCATGCTTGTGTTCCACCTTCTGCTTTAAGGCGGAGGAAGTGAAGTTTTGTCCGGGTAAAAAGCGCAGCTCCCTCCCTCTCATCTGTCAGAGGCAGCGGGACATTGGACATAACCACCACTCACTTCCTTTTTTACTCTTTACACCACGTTTTTATAGTTTGACCACTTTTAATAACTTTTATCGCCGTGTTTAGCGAGTTTCTACACTTTAGTCCTGTTAATTAGCTGTTAATATCGATGCAATGGTCGAGGAGCTAATGTTAGCCGGGTGCTAGCAGAGAAAGTAGCCGGGGTTAGAGCTCCATTTCTCGGCTACATGTAATCCAAAGAACCGTGGATTAAACATGGAAAACCCGAGTCATTTGGGAGGATTATTTCGCTATCTTCAAGACCCTTACCTTGTTGCTCGTTTTCAGCACATTTGTGGAGTCCGGGGCACATTTCTGAAGACCCCCGCGGAGGAGTGTAACAACAGCGAGGACAGAGGAGAATGTGACCGAAAACCAGCGCGCAGCAACGGGGCATGTCCTCACCACTCGCCCGGGGAAAGCCATGGGGAAACAGCGGGTGGTTTTGGGGCTGGAGGACAGGAGAGACGCGAAAACTGTTCAAAGGGACTTCACAAAAGATCTAAAGGTGTAAATGCATCCAAACAACCAGGGGAAGGTGGGGAAAAGTTGACCCAAAATGGTGCAGCGAACCCGGGGGGAGAGACTCCAGGCAGCGCTGTGAAACCGCTTCGGAAAAACTCGCTTACTGGGGATGCCGGGCAAGAATTTATCATTGAAAACCGCTTTTTGTATTACTTATTCACTTTTGGGACTGAACTGGGGAATGAGCTGTTTTATATCACGTTTTTCCCCTTTGTAATGTGGAATATTGATGCTTTTGTGGCGCGTAGGATCATAACGGTGTGGGCTTGGGTGATGTATCTTGGACAATGCACCAAGGATCTTCTCGGCTGGTCCAGACCCGCTTCTCCGCCCGTGGTTAAAGTGGAGATGTTCTACAACTCCGAGTACAGCATGCCCTCCACACACGCCATGTCCGGGACCGCCATCCCCTTCGCCCTCTTCTACATGACCCTCGGCCGCTGGGAGGTAGGTACAAGCCGGGTAGATTGGAACTTTAACGCACCTCCTGAGCTGGTTCTGTACAGCTTTTTTATTGTCAGACTGGGCTTGCAAAGAGAGGCAAAACATGCAATAATGCAACTAATGCAGGGTGACCAGATGTCCCTATTTACCTGGAACAGTCCCAGTTTTGAGCCCTGTGTCCCCTGTCCCAGCAGATTTATCCAAAACCAGTGATTTGTCACAGTTTTATACAAGAAATGTCCCAGCTGTCCCTATTTTTGACCAATCTGATCCCTTCCAACAGTAAAGAGAGGCATACATTGTCATTTGTTTAGGCTGAATATAGGAAAGCTGCTTAAAATGACCAAAACACAAAGAAAATGTGACTATACTGACTCACATTACTGTCGCCACAGAACCATTTTTGTTAATTACGCACTTGTTTCACAATATTATTTATTATTACCAACCACCCAAAACCAGGGATGTCCCAGTTTCTGGACTACACACTCTAGTAATAATCACTTGTAGTGGACTACAAAAATAATTCATAATTGCTTGTTGTAGCTCTATTGTCTTTATGGGGATGCTATTTCTTTGTTCGGAATGTCCCACAATATAGCTTTAAACGTATCCATGCATTTTTTTTTCAATTACAGGTGTTTTTATTGCTTAAAAAATCTTGAAAAACACATGAGCAGGGTGAGGTCATCTCTCCACAGATCTGACCTGTACCTGATAGCATAGTGTCGCCTGCTTGTCTCCATGAACATGTTATCACTTTGCCTGGAATGTTTGGCAGAGTTTGGCATTAAATGTATCTGTCATAGATTTATGTAGTTACTGATGTTTAGTAGCTTGAAAAACATGTGTGATCTCTCCACAGTACTGACCTGTAATTCAGCGTGACAGTGTTTCCTTGGAGACAGATAAATGCCTAACTACTGTGGAACATTTCAGACAAAGGGAAACCTACAAGCACATGATGTAACCGCAGCATGTATTAGTAGTTCCTCAGTGCACCTTTAACAGTGGAAAATATTATTCACATTAGACAGTGATAGAAGAAGCTGATGTTATAGACAATATCTGGATGCGATTGTATTGTTCAGAGTAAATTACACGCGTTTAACTTGATTATAACTAGGGGTGTCAAATTATCGCGTTAATTGCGATTAATTAATTACAGTCATATTTAGCGCGTTATGTTTTTTAATCGCGTTAATCAAATTTTTAATCTCTAACTTTAGTGTTTCTGTATGCGAGTTGCTTTATTATAAAACCTGTTTTTATGTGTTGTTGGGACAACCACAACACACACACACACAAAACACATTTATACATTTTTTTATTTCGGTAATTCCACTCATTGCCGGAAACCCACACAAAACGTGCGCAGTAAGAGTGACGTAAACGTCATGTTAACGTTGGCGGCGTCAGGCACAATGGACGAGGTCGAAGAGCCAGTAGAACAGAGCAGCAGTGCACAGGTAAAAACACATTCGTGTCTTGGAAATTATTCTCCCAATGTGAAATATAAAAGAAAATAAATATAAAATCGCCTACAACTTAAATGTCACTGGTGAAAACAACCTGCATAGGCTCATGATGTCTGCACTACTGTCCTATAGTGACCTGCCACATGAGGGGACACGCACACAAACACACAAACACAAACAAACACACACCTTCATCATCGTCATTAACCTGAGAACGCGCGGACCACGTTTCCTTCCATAGTTACTGCGGGGACACCGACGTGCTCCCGTGAGCCGCGTGTGGATCGTGTTTTCTCCGCGCTTCCTCCTGTGAGCCTCTAAACCAGAACTAACACCAAGACTAAAACCAGGACTAATCCAGTCCAGGACTAAACCAGGACTAAACCAGAACTAAAACCAGAACTAAAACCAGAACTAAAATCAGGTCTAAACCAGGTCTAAACCAGGTCTAAACCAGGTCTAAACCAGGACTAAACCAGCACTAAACCAGAACTAAACCAGGACTAAAACCAGGATTAATCCATTCCAGGACTAAACTAGGACTAAAGTAGGACTAAAGCAGGTCTAAACCAGGACTAAAACAAGGACTAAAACCAGTGATCTCATATATAAAGCATTTCTCTATCAATAATATTTTTAATATGGTTAAGGAAAGACTGGACTTTTTATTGTCTTTAGACAAAAGTTATTATGTTCAGATTTCCTCGTCTTTGCTACTTTACAGCAAACAGTTTCTTATTCATGGAGACTTGGACTCAACAACTAATTTGGAGAGATTTGTTAAACAATAAATGACTTTATAAAGTCACTTTTTTTTGTTCTATATCAGTCTTTTGATCTGCCACAATAATGTAATGAATTTAAATGAAAATACCTCAAATTGAAGGCTTTTCTCAGCTATTTTTAGGTGAGATTAAAATGAGATTAATTAGATTAATTAATTACAGATCACAATTAATTAATCTCTAAATTTTTTTAATCGCATGACAGCACTAATTATAACACAAGAATTGTTCAGACTACTCACAATAGTCAATTTTTAGACTGTCAAGCAAAGTGGACTGGTGGTCAACTTGATATTAAAACTTTTTTAATTCAGATATTATCTAAATAATTATCATTGTAATAGATTTGAATAAAAAGATGTTCTTGCTTGTAGTGTTGTTGCAATACTAAAATTTCAAATAAGATTTCCAGATTCATTTCTTTCTAAGGACTCGATACTCTATGCCGATTCTGAGAGCACGCGATGATAATAAAAACACTGTTTATTTAGACAATTGAACATGATGTTCAACATTAAATCATAGTTCTTTCTTTTCTATTCCTATGTGGTCTTATATGTGTGTAATCCCTCAGTGATCCATGGGTGTATACCAGGGGTCTCAGACTCGCGGCCCGGGGGCCAACTGCGGCCCGCGGAAGGATTTTTTGCGGCCCTCCACTTGATTCCAAAGAATAATGTCAGTGCGCCCGCGGTAGATGTACGCACAATCCCACCCGCCTACCGCGGGCCGCACTGACAGATGAAGCTGCAATCGGTGCCCATGCTGATTCACAACAGATTATTAACGCAGTTTACATCCCAAAACTCAATTTACAGCAGTTGTGAAGCAACGAGTCTAAGTGGATCTGTTAACACAAGTACACGTGCACATATGGCGTCACCGAAGAACCAAAACAAACCACACATGGTGGTACACGTGTGTGCACTTCACTTTACGCTCCCACAACCACAGCATCAGAGCGCAGAGGAGGCGCTGACACAATTCCCCTCTTCATAAGTATGGGACCTTTATTGGAGGGGCTAATAAGAAATAAAAAGACATTGACAGTCTGTTTACCTGTTCAACACTCGGTGCGTAACTTGCTGGCAACCCGATGACCAAACTCCACCTGTGCGTCACCGAAATCCACACGCACTCAGCGGCAAACACAGCTGTCCCATCAATATGCAAGCACCACAAAACTGCAGTGATCTATTCCAGAGGCTTGGCGACATGTTAGCAAAAAGTACGAGGCAAAAACAAGCGTCTTCCATCCATGTTTGACATACGAGAAGCAGATACACTCCAGTGTGGTCCGCTTTCACACCGGCAAACGAACCAAAACTGGTCCGATTAACGAGCCTCTGTATCCCGGTAGAACAGTGATATCTCCAGTAACCAATACTGATGTTCCCTGTTAATACCGCGGGCCGTCCTCATCTTATCACCATGAACTCATAAAACAGCAACGTAGAACTTTCTACAAACTCACCGCATCAGTTCTGAGTTCGGGTACCAGCAGCAGCCAACAGCGTTCACAGTAGCGCACAGTTCCTCAGGACGGGGCTGGGGTCTGGTCCTTGGTCTTCTGTCGTACTACAAGCGCGTTGGTCAGATGGTCCTCCATGTGCTGGTTCCAGACGGTGGCGAGCTAGACCAGTGCGCAATGACTGGGTCTGAGCGGGTACGTTCCGCCGTCTGCGTGCTGGTTCCGTGCGGGGAAAGTGAGAAGGCGCTGTGGACTACCTACAGGTCTGTGCTGCTCCTGTCCTCCGCGCTCAAGAACAAGCGGCTGGTTCCGTGGTGGTGCAAAGCATCCGGACAGAACGTGAATCCAGTTTAGTTGGTGTCCGCATTTGGTTCTTCCTGGGAAAAGCGCTTTTCACTCCCCGCTCCACGTCATCTGAGCCCGGACAGAACCGGAGCTGCTCCTGCTGGTTCGGGACTCCGGTTTGGATCTAGTCCGACTGTATTTCTCACACTAGGCTAAAAGTAGGACATTTTTTAAAGGTGAATCAATTGAATGGGCGATTGCCTATTGCCATAAATTATTTGGTTAATTAAAGCCTAAAATAACAAATGCTGGTTCCTACCTGATCACGGGGAACACCAGGACCTCTGTGCAGGTCCTGAACAGAAGTACACACCCCCATTTTTGACTCACTCTGGAGCCACACGTTCGCACGTACTTGCTCTGATCTTCGTGTGTTACATTCTCTGTATTGGCCATTGTTGGTAAAATATTTCGAAAATGAATCGCGATTGCGTCTGGACAACAATCTGTTACTGCGCTGGAGTCGTACAGCGCGTCATTACAGGCAGGAGACGCGTTTCTCCCATGATGCATCTAGAATAGTTCGTTTGGACCTGCTGTCTGTGGTTTGGACCCGGGTTCGCGTTCACACCAGAAGAACCGCACCAAAGTTGGTCATTTGGTGCAGATTCAAGCGAACCGAGACCACCTCTTTTTTGAGGTCTCGGTCCACTTGAGTTGGTCCGGGTCAGAGTCCGATTGACGCTTTCACACCAACACAAACGAACCGAGCTAACCACTTCTGGTTCGAATGGATCGTTTGGTGCGCACCAAATACTGTCGTGTGAAAGCACCTAATACAGGTCAAGGCTCACTGATGAGCATCTTCAATCTATCCTGAGGATCTGCTTCCTCCTGCAAGTCAAATATCTCTCAGCTGTACAAGATGAATCGTAGCCAGGTTTCAACCAGCAAGGAGTAGGCAAAAGAAGAAGAGTAGACGTA